TACTCTCAAAATTATTCCTGGAGGCAATAAGTATAACACTGAACACTTGAACGATTACAACACTCAAAAATTGCTTCAGCAAACATTGTTGCTTATTGTACACAAGCAACAAACTCCCTGAGGGAAAAATGAGAGAAGCAATGCTTTTCACAGTAGCATTGAAAAAGAAAATGAAGTAGGAATCAATCTAGCAAGGGAACTAAAATATTCTGAAAACTGCAATATTCTGAAAAAAGAGAATGAAAAGGATGTCAGAAAATGGAAAGATACACTTTGCTGTTGGGTAGGAAGATCCAATATAGTGACAATGGCCATCCTCCTAAGATTGTTATACAGATTTATTGCAATCTCAGTCAAAATACCATTAGCATACCTCAAGAATTACAGAAATTATTCCTAAAATTCATTTAGAACCAGAAGAGACCCAATAGCAAACATAATTCTGGGCAACAAAGGCAAGGCCACTTCTCTGGAGACCCCAAAGGCCACTTGGCCCCAATTCTCTCCCCTCTCTTGTGCCTTTGGGAACAGGGTAGGGTGTGCTGATGTCCCACAGTTGCCCTGCTGTAGCTTAAAGCTACTTAAATCCCTCTCTCTGTTCTCTCTTACCCTGCTAGGAGCAGGGCAGGAGGAGTGATGCCGGTTCACTCACTATCTTCACACCTGCTGCTGTGGTCCCTAGCCTTGTTGTTAGAGGTGCCAGTGAGCCTCTATGGTGCATGACAAAAAACAAACAAACAAGCAAACAAAAAACCCAACTAACTGACTAACAGACCAACTGACTGACCAACCGACCGACCAACCAACCAACCAACCAACCAACCAACCAACCAACCAACCAATCAACCAACCAACCAACCAACCAACCAACCAACCAAATAACCAACCAACCAACCAACCAACCAACCAACCAACCAACCAACCAACCAATCAACCAACCAACCAACCAACCAACCAACCAACCAACCAACCAACCAACCAAATAACCAACCAACCAAACAAACAAACAAACAAACAAAACTGGTAGCCTTTCAGGGAAAGAGCAGGTTCTTGATCTGCTGGAGAAATTTTCTACCAGGCTTCAAAGTCCCTGTTTCAAAGAAGGCAAAAATGGCAAGGGCCTTATATCCCAAATCTACCCCATGCAGCTTGAGCTGGCCATGCTGTTGCAGTCCAGCTGTTTTTGGGGGAACTTACCAGAATAGTGGTTCCTGCTTCATTTGCAGGGTGAGGTCCTGCCACAGCCCTGTGACCTGCTCTGCTGTTTTATAAAGATTTATGTGAATGTTTTGCTTCATCAACAAATCTCTTATTTCAGATAGGTTTTGTTATCAGGATGTAGCTCACTTCCTTTCTTCCAATTACCTGGACTTTTAGTTAATTTCTCTCAGTAACTCCAGTGTAGATCCTCCTCTATTCAGCAACATTGAATCCTCTCTCATCTTAAAATTTTAACTTAATTAATTAATTTTTTAAGAGCAGAATATATTTATTGAGAGAAAGAAAGCTCCTGTCTGAGAGAAGGACAGAAGGGGGATGTGAGTGAGTTACCTGGGAAGCTGTTTTTTTCTAGGGATTTTCATAGGGCAAAACCATGAGGTGAGGGGCATCTAAGGTGGGAAACACAGCAATGCACTAGGTGGGCATGAGGTGGGACAAAGCTATGGCCAATCAATAAGATTACTGTATGGTCCCTAGCACCATTGCACAGGTAAAATTGTCTAATCTTAAACATTTTAATATGTATATTTAGCTTAAATTCTAAACCTAGTCAAGTTCCTTCTCTTTACATGTCTAACATGAAAATACTTTGTCTTTCTCCACATTCTCTTGTTGTTCAGTGTTTTAGCTCTACCCTTCTTTTTACTTTCTTCGGTCACTGCTTTATATTTGTCTTTTTTCCTGGATCAAATCTCCTTCATTCAATACTCACGCCTCACAGTTATTTTGGTAAGATGCTGTTGATGATTAATTCTTTCAATGTTTGTTTGTCTGAAAAGTTTTTCTTTCTCCCTTGTGCCTATATGATAGATTTTCTGGGGTTTGCATGGTCGATGTAGCCATTTGTGGGTATTATCCTATTGGTTTGTGACCCCTATGGTTGCTGTTGCTACTGTTGACAGTGATGCTGGTTGTTAATATTGTGTCTTTGGTGTTTTTCATTTCCACAGATGCATCTACCTGTGAATTTACCTTTTTACCTACCCTGACTAATATTTATTTTGCTTTTCAAAACTGAAGCTCAAGTCTTCCACCAACTTTAGAAAACCGATAGTAATTATTTCTTCCAATATTACTTGTTTCCCCTCATATTATTTTTTCTTCTAAGACATCAATTAAATATATATTTTTGCCATTTAAGTATCCCCC